TCTCTCTCTCTCTCTCTCTCTCTCTCTCTCCTGCCGACGATAACTCTCTGCTCCCTAGGCCCATGAATGCATCTAGCCACTCAAACGACCAGGTTCAATCAAAGTCACGATCCCCGGGGTGGAGTTCTTGGGTCGAGGGAAAACTGCCACAATGACCGGGACCACCAAATCCATTGAGACCACGAGGAAGACAACCATGACCATAAGGATGACGAATATCATTGTGATGAAAACGACGGTCAACACGGTTTTAGTGACGATTGAACTCAAACTTGGAGTCGGCGCGATGAACAACGACTAGAGAGGACAAACTACGAGACGAGCAAGATGGTCGTGACCTCTTCTGCCCTCCTCGTTGCCTTTCGTTGATCTTCTTCCTCACTCTCCACACCCCATTCGACTCCCTTTCCATACTTCTTTAGCTCCTTACGGTGTGTCGAGTCCCCCTACCCCGTGCGCAACTTGTTAAGCAGACAGCGGCTAATCCAATGCTCCAACGCTCAATCCGCTCTTCCCACTCCATTCGCAGTTCGTGAAAACCCCCGGATCAAGTCTTCATTCGCTCGACTTCATTAGGAATTGACCGGATAGCCTAATCTTCAGTCCGCCATACCTGTCTTTGCCTCGTCAATCTTCTCCTACAACGCGGGAAGATACATCTCACCTTTACACATAAATGCAGTCAATTCATGGGCGCAACTCTTGCAGGCCATATTGGTTTAACCGCCGCACCAATTTGAAATCTGTCGCGGCCAAATGCTCCGCAGTGCCTTAAAACCTCAAGTTTGCATCTCTGCTCGTCCGATTCTGACAAGAATCGGAAGAGTCGGATGAGCTGAGTGCCTCCCTCTTCGCCATATCCATCATGTCGACGTTCCCACGCACGTCCTTTCCTATCTAACTCTCATCCTACTAACCGACTCCCCAAACTAACACTACTAATTGACTCAGCCCGGGCTGAAAACCCCGGTTTCGGCTTTTGGCTCGTCCGATTCCTCCCAGAAACGGGTGAGAATAAGCTTCTTCCCCTTTTGTAGTCATCTCCATCCCGACACCTCCACGCTCTCCATTCCTCCTCGTTCTCCCATTCTACTCAACCAACCATCAATCTGAATGCAGATTCGAGGTCGCAAAGGTCCAAAACCTCAAGATCGAGCCTCGCATCACCCGTTTCCATTAAGGAACGGGCGAGATAAGGCTCTCTCTTCCCCACTACTTCTCATCTTCTTCATCTTTCCCCAGCAGCGGCTTTTCCCCGCTTCCGACCTGCACAGCGGGAGCCCCAGCTATCCAGAGGGAACACCGAAGGGAACCAACATCACAATGGTTCGATTAGTCTTTCGCCCCTATACCCAAGTCCGACGAACGATTTGCACGTTACTATAGCTGCGTGCCTCCCTCCTCTCCGCCTTTGTCTCCTTCGTCTCTGCTCTCCCTCCCTTCTCGCATGTATTTAGCGCGTCTTCACGTCTAGGTTCATTCGATCCTTCTTCCTTTTTCATTACCCCGGCCGATGCCAACCTGCGCTGTAACCCAAACACCACAAAGGGTGTTGATTGATACAGACAGCGGGATGATAGTCATAGAAGTCGATATTCGCTAAGGAGTGAATAACAACTCTCCTACTTGTCTTTATAGTATTATGGGGAACCCCATAGTAGTCACATCCGTGCTCAGGCCTTCAACGAGGGAACATTTGGGAGCTGCGCCCACTAAATGTGCGATACCTGCTATAGTAGGTGGGCGTTACCGCCCAGGGCCCGCTGGTACCATCAGCACCGAGCTTCTCCGATGGGCCAGTCACTCAAAATATACAGGGGCTATGCTAATCTTCTCTGTATCGTTCTAGTTTCAACGGATGTCCCGAAGGACTGTCCTACAGACAGCGAGTGGAGGTATCAGTTCCAAGCCGACCAGCCTTAGGTGATTCGGGCAACTCCGAATTTTTTCTCTTTACGAATCGAGCCCCTTCACCTGGTCCGAACTCGGGTCTGTATTTTCAACAGTTCAGTGGTGTATCCACTGAACTAGGTTCTTGGGTCACGGCCGGATCTGGCGCCACTGCTGGGCCAAGTTCAAGAAATGAAACAAAAATAATAAATTAAAAAAATGAAAATAAAAACTTAAAAAAAATTTAAGAAAACGGAACAGGGGGAGGAGGCCGTTGACACTTGGTCCTCGGTCCTGCCCATCGGGCCCACGGTCAGATCCCCCTGCAAAACTAAGGGGGATAGCCCCGCGAAACCCTCAACCCCTAAGTTCGCTCCGTCGTGCTCCTCCGCTCCTCCAATGCTGGTTGCTGGCCTCGATCCCGGGATCTGCAAGGTGAAAGTCTAGCGATGTAACCAATAGGGCTAAGCCCAAGCCTGGTTGTAGCAGGCGCATCTCTCTATATAAAGAGTATTTGCAGCCTGCTTGAGCCTGAAGAAAGTGCACCAAGGCCATTTCCCGGTTCGTCCTTTAAAACCATGGCCCCGCACGCGTGCCGTGCTAGCTTGGGGCCGACTTTTACTCGGCCCGCCGTACGCATAGCCCCGCAATGCCATAGCCAATGGTTAATGCCTCCCCACGCTGCGTCTTTCTCTGAAGGGCCGCTCTGCGGCTCCTACTACCGACAATACACGGCCGAACCTAGTACCTGCGCACTCCACATAATGTGACCCCGGAATGCCGCCTTTTAGTGAGTCACACAAAATCCTCCCTTAGTCGCAATCTCTCCTGATCAACTTCGCGCTGCCCGTAATTTCGTTCGTGCGTGCGAGGTAGCTGCTTCATCCAAAATTATGGTCTAACACTTACTTGTTCTATAGGCGTCTAATAGTCTTCCTTGATCAAATATCCAGCCAAACTACTGCGTGCCCACAAAGTGCACGCTCACACACTCTCTAATCAACTCAAACACGTGTGTCACTCCCAAGCCATGAGAATTGGTTGTGGCTTCACGAAAATGGGACGCGCTCCTGGATATCATCAAAAACGTATTTCCTGTAAGTTGCGGTAATGCGCCCAAAAACCCTTGTAAGGGTATTCAGGCCGACAATTTTCCGGACCTTATTAAGCGACGTCCCCGTCGCGTCGAACAATCAAACGTTATAAACAATCAAAATTCCAACTGCTAACGAGGAAGTAACCAATCCAATTAACCGGCTCGACTCCGTTTGAGGTATTCTTATCAACCTGCTCCCGTCACGGCGTTCCACTGCCAGGGATTCAACCTGGGTCTCCCACGTCCTGGCCTCAGAGGTAGGGGATACTTTGTTCCGTACTACAGTGTAATACCCGCTCCCAGATAGTAGGTTGATAGCCCTCTCCCTTCGTCATTAGACATCTGTCGGTTCATCGTTGGGTGTCCTGTTTAGTCATCGCCCCGCGTACGGGCCCTAACTGAGACCTCTGTCAATTACGGGGCACCTTTAGCCCCCAAATGATAATGTTTACCATCTGAAATACACAATCATAATGAATTCCCGTCCTGGAGTCTAACACAGGTGGCTTTAGGCCTCCATCTTGGCCCACCACGGAACGGTCGATCACACTGAGTCCACGGCCCACCACGTTGTTATGTAGCGATGGTGCCCTCGTTGGTTGCGCAACGATAAGCAGTTCTTCCTACCTTGGTACCTTGAAGGGTCCCGACTCTTGACTCAATCGACCCCAATGACTTCCCCTCTAGCTAAACCTCTCCGAGCGGCCGACCCTTCAAGACTTCACCTTTGGTAAGTCATGGTCCCGGTGCCAGGTTGTGCCGGTCAGCGGCCCTCGCTGGGAGTTAGGTTCTACAGTTCCAGCGATGCTAAGTATAGCTCCTTAGCCTGACCTCACAAAATATGTCCCTTAGACTGATTTCATTGTGGTCTGACACTTTCCTTCAAAAAACCATCTGAAGAATCAAAAGATCACATACCAACTGCCCACGGGACTACGTGGAGGGATAGTACTTTTTTCAACATTCCATCAATTTACTCAGTAACTTCACAAGGTTGTGCCTCCCTTACTTTGATCAAAGTGGGTGAGGTCACACGTCTTTTAGAGACAACTCTCAAAAGTCTTCCAGAGTTCCATCATAATTGCCAGAAGTTTTCATCCAAATTCTCAAAAAAATTTTGGTCTTTCCTTGTCAGACTTACATACGTACAGAAATATCTCATCATTATAGCATCTCTTTTGAGTGTTCTCACAAATTTCATCCCTTTAAGAAAGTCCAATCGGTCATTGGACCCCCCTCTCTCTTTTCTAAGTCATACAGAAAACACATTTTGGTTGTGACTTTTCCATTTATCATCCCACAAATTTTTGCAAGACACATCATATCATCTCTTTTTCAAAAATATGATGAGCACTCTCTCCCACTGTACTTTGGGCTTCACTTGTCATTAGGACAAGGATTCGCAAGTACAGCGGAAGAAAGCGCAGATCAATTCATTTAACAATATTCATTTCATCACACTATCATCCATATGGGCAAGTCCACAAACTTAGAGTAAACGTGACATATCATGCAAACTAAGAAAATAACAAGATTTGAGACTCGCGTATGTACTCAGGATGTGGGTCCCTGCAATAGGCAAAGGCTCCTGTCCTTATCGACGAGTCAAGGTATTGTACAAAGAGTCCGAGTATCCAACACAGAGTCACGGTATCCAACAAAGAATCAAGATATCCGAAATCGACCGTCACTCCACTCCTGATATCACTCACATATGAATGTCACTCCCTTCTTGATGGAAAAGGAATAAAAACTCACACAAAAGTATTATTTGAAAAACATTCTACGCCGTACTAAAGGAGAGGAAAAGAGAAAAGGAAAAATAGTCAGAATCATACTTAGTGTCATCTTATGTACAAGAAAGTATATAAGTCTATAATGCGAAAGTAAATACCTCATTACTGGCTCAACTTAGAGATGTACATGGGTCTGATCCAATCCTCCATGTATCCCTCTATATACAAGCAACCATCAGTCAGAGAGTTAAAAGATGTTATGCATATACTAGACCTAGACTTTTCCGGACCTTATTAACGAACCCTACTCCTGATCACTCATGACCTCCCGCAACTGCCTATACAACTGCGCCCTCACCCCATCACGAGTCTTAGGAACCGGGATTCCATTCCTATCTCTCCACACTTCAGATAACTCTCTGACGGCCAAACCATTTGCCTCATCCTTGAGGCTCTTGGGGCAGCCGTCAGATCGATGCTTGCCCTTCTTGCAGTAGAAACATTTGTCAATCTTCTTCTGAGACATCTTGTCTCCTTCCTGCGAGGCTACAGATGACGGGACTTCAGTGTCCTTACTCGTAACCTTCTGTTGTGGAACCTCTGGGGAAGTGGGGCATGTCGCTCTGTCATCTGTTCGCATCGCCTGCTCGCCGACACGTCCCTCTGGCCCCAACCCAGTGATCCAAGACCCTAATGCATCCCACAGATTTGCAGTAAGAGGTATATCCGGAGGTATGAACGACTCCTGACATCTCTTCAAATCTCTTCTTGACCTAACCTCAACCATGGTCTGACCCACGCTCTCCTGATCCTCTCGCTGTCCCACAACCCCTCGTTGAGTCGTAGGTGGAACTATTTCAATTCTCTCGACCTCAGCTGGTGGTCTCTCCTGCCGTCTCGCTGGCTTCTGATTAAGTATCATACAAGTCGGCACTCTCCACTCAAGCTCTTCAACCTCAGATTCCTTCTCAGCTAGTGCCTCTTGTGGCTCCAACACCTCCTTATCTATCAGGGGAATCTCCTCACCCTCTTCCGGGTCCGCCTTCTCTTCTTTCTTCTGGCTTTTGAAGGCTTCTTCTGTAGGTCGTCTCTTGATCTCTAACCCTTGGACCTCTGTCCAATCCACTACTGCAGTTGGAGCCTGTTGTGCACACCTGGCCTCAAGGTCTTGTATCCTCGTTTCCCACTCAACTTCCTTTGCTTGGAAGGAAACCTGTTGTGCCTGTAAATAGGCCCTTAGGACGTCATTGACCTTATTGAGGGTCTGGTTGACCTGCCTGATGGCCTCGTTCTCAGCCCAAATTTCCACCATATCTGTCTTCACTGTCTCCATCTCTCTACCCCTCCAACTCCTTTAGATCTTCAATTTCTCTTGCCCAGTCTACCCTCTGGCCATATACGCTCTGAGCCCCATAAAGACTAACTTAACCCCCATCTCCTGATGATATTCTCCAGATTTCCCTGCAGCCTCCATCAACTTGTCAAAGTTGACCCAAACCTCTGAAAATAGGGGAAGATCCTCCTCCTGAGTGCAAATGCCCTTACCACTTTTGTCCTTCACCACCACAGGCTCTTCTCCTTGCTGCCTCCTCTCATTCATTTCTGCCAAGTTCTTCAACCTGAGCTGGACTCTGATTTCTTTCTCTCTTGCTGCCCTCTCAACCCTGTCCAACTCTCTTTCCTTGGTAGTCTGGTCTTCCTCTTGTACCTGTTCCTTTGGCTCATGAGGCACGTCTGGTTCCATGTCCGACATAGGACAGTCCACATCCATCTGGGCATGCTGTGGAGGCACACCTGGACCACCTGACCCACCTGCTCTCTCGTGCCTGTGGGCTCTTTGGTCCTTTCTCCTGTCATCCCTCTAAGTCCTTGATGACAGACCCTGCTCAAAGGTCCTCCTTTCAGCTGCCCCTGCCTCCCTCCTTCTCTTCTCCAGACTCCCTCTCTCTCCTGCTTGATGGACTGGAGTATCGTGGTTCCAGAGCAACTTTTTGCAGTGCCCCCAGTTCGCAGCAGGTACCACAATAAATCTGACAAAGGATTTGAGGTGCCACCTTACGTACGGAAAGAAGTTCCCCATCCTTTGTTCCCCCAAAATATTGAGGTCATCTTCATACTGATCATAGGCCCATATGAATCACCCCAAATTAGTGAAGTCGAATCGAATAGGTTGTCCATCTCTCCCCATTGGTGATGGATGCAAACCCTTCATCTTCCTCTCAAAGTCTTGCCAGCTCAGTGATCCCCTTACAAGGTTGGCAATGGGGTCTATCCACTCGCCGTGCCTCGCACCTGCCTCAACATCCTGGTATCATCCCATCCAAACTCCCGTGCATGCCTCTCGAACTCAATTAGGAACAACTCAATGTTTCCTCCCTGGAAAACTGAAGGTCTGTCCTCTCTCCTGGTCCTCATCTGTGTCCTCTGTCTGGTCACCCCCAAAGGGGTTTCCACTTGCCATGCCCCTCCCTTTCCTCTTGGCATGGCTGCCCCAAGTGGTGTCAAGCCTGCACAACAAGGGAGGGACAAACAGGAGCACACGTGGGTAAGCAATTTTGAACAAAACACAACAGGAGACAAACATAGCCCTTCCATAACTATCCCAGTTACCTGCCTATCTATATATGCATACATATACACGCGACAATATTCTATATAATTTACTTATACTAGTATTCCTATGTAAAGTACTCAAAGGGTGACTCTAACTGGTGAGATCCATGCTCACCTCGTCTCGAGCGACGAATTTTTTTAACCTCGAGCCTGACACCCAGTCTTTCCACGCCGTCCCATTGAGTTCCTCAATCTGGTAGGCTCCATGCTCACCACTCCTTGTGACCCTTTACAGTCCCAACCACCTCTTGTCCAACTTCTGCGACCACTGTTTCTCTAAGGAGGAGTCATATAGAAGTACAATGTCTCCCACCTTGAGAGGCTCTTTCCTTACTCTCGCCATCTTATCCCACCTGAACTTGTCCTTTGTACGACTGTCAGTCACCCTATTCCGCGCATTCTCAATTCTGTCCTCTATGACATCAATCTGACGTGCCCTTGAATCAAGCAGTTCCTCAAATGTTAGATTAGTCTCAAGGTCTTGCCGCCTCCAAGTCCTTAGGAAGCTTTCAATAGGGAACGTTGCATGCCTGCCATACCATAACGTAGCTGGTGTGTAGCCGGTGCTTCTTCTGACGGTGATATTATCCACAAAGAAAGCGACTCGTAGAATTGATTGGGCCTGCCATCAGTCCACTTAGTGAGAAGATTCGTGATGGTGCTATGTCCTCTCTCCATAGGTGCATTAGCTTGAGGGTGTGTCACAGTAGTGTACTCGGCGATTACCCCATACTTCTTTGGGAGCGCCTTCACTTCTGTACAGGTGACTTCGGACCCTCTATCCATCAAAAATTTGGAGACAAAGGGATAGCGGAGATAATACTCTTCGATGCATCGGGCCAACGTCTCACCAGTCTTTGTACGAATAACCCTGCCATCTACAAAACCAGAGAGGTTGTCCCGCATATCAAAAATAAAATTATAACTCCCTATTCCCAACGGCATTGCCAACAGATCCAGATGTACGACCGCTCCAACCTCACGAACATACCTTGGGTGAAGCGGTTCCCTTGGTCTGAGAGAGGATCGCTCTTGGCATGGTACACAAGATTTACAGTAGTCGTTGATCATCTGCCCCATGCCATCCCAACAGTATAACTCATGTATTTTGAGATAAGTCGTATCCGTGCTTCTATGGCCTCCTGCCGTACTGTCGTGTAGGGCGGCTATGACGTCAATCTGACGAGTAACGTCGTAACTCGTCACGCCGTAAATTACCCTCCTGGGAGTTCTTCCTTTGCTTCTCATAAATAGATGGTCATCCCTCACTAGAAACTTTGGCCTCATCTTCAGAACTCTTTCACTAGCATCCTTTTCCCTCATTTCGCATGAAACAAGCATCCCGAGCTCGAGATAAACTTCATCGTACTCCTCTGCCCGGAAAACTTTTTTAATCTCCCCTTCCTCAAAGTCGTCATCTTCCCCTTCGTGGATCACATTATCGCCTTCTTCCTGACTTTGTTCCGCATTTCTTGCCAACTCCTCTTGTATTAGCCAGGAGATATATTCCACCTACGAATTTCTCATGTTTTTCCACCTGTTGCGCTCCATTCTCAATCGTGAGCAGATCCTCATGTAGTTGGTACTTGTTTGCTAGGGTCAGGTCCATCATCCATTCTACACCTGGCATTCCCCAAGAGTCTTCTTCGATATAGGGCTTCAAGACTAGGTTTGGCCGTCGTACATGTCCTGGAGGCGCAAGCCACACAGGTCGCCCAAGAGTAATATAGCTACCCATGGCCAGTGACCAGGAGTTGATGTGAAGTCTCACATCCTCCTCCCTATCCAGAAACCCGTCGACTGGCGGAGTATCCTCAATCACTCCTTGGTTATTCTTGTCCCAGTCGACTCGACTAAGCCCATCTGCTCTATTCTTGTTCCGAGGAATTCGCTCTAATTCGAAATCGAAGATCCACACGTATGTTAACCACCTGACGATAGTTGGATCCGAGGGAGCGAAGTTCTTGAGAGAACCAGCTAGAGCAGTCGGGTTCACCCTCAATACAAACCTACTGCCAAAGAGGTAGTTTCTGAAGATCCTTAAGCAGTGAAGAACTGTCAGGGTTTCACGCTTAAACTGAGAGTAGTTCCTCTCAGTTGTATTAAGCGTTCGACTCTCAAACCTTACGGTCGTTCTTCTCCATTGGGGTCTCGTTGGATCAACACACCTCCCAGGGCAGTCGGCCCTGCGTCCGTTTCCACAATAAATGCTCTGGTCATCACCGCTGAATGGTCTGGTACCCTTTGTACTAGACCCCCTTCCTCAAACTCTTTCTTCATACCTTCTATCACTGTCTCTTGCTTATCTCCCCACTCCCAATCTTGGCCCTGGTGTAGAAGCTTTCGCAACTGCTCCGTCTTTGCTACAAACCCCTTTATGAAAATCCTCCAAAAGCCACACGTTTTGAGGAAGTTTCTTACCTCTTTGATAGTCTTGAATAGTGTTGGTCATTCGAGAATCTTATTGGTCCTCTTAGTATCTGGCCAATGACCCCTCTCATCGCACACAAATCCTAAGATAGTGGCCCCGCGCACGCAATGTCTTGACTTCGATCCGCTGACGGTCAGGTTATGCTCCTTTAGGAGGTCCAGGACCTTGCACAGGTCTCGCACATGATCCCAGACGAAATGCCTAACCCCTGGCATCACCTCTTGCTCATCCTTCTCCATAGACCCTTTCACGGCCAGATCATCAATATACGGTTGCGTGATGTGATGGCTTACTGGCTGCATTGCCCGTACCATGTGTCTCTGGACCATGGCGACCGCATTCGTCCATCCTTGCGGTGCAGCATTCATGTGGATCAACCCTCGAGGGGTATGCATAGCCGTAATTGGTCTGTCGGATGGGTATACAGGAAATTGATCATAGCCTGAATACAGATCTATGAGAGAGATTATGACTCTCCCGGCGCAGGTCTCCGACAACGCATCAGCGTTAGGGAGACCATCTGGGTCTCTCACTGTTACAACGTTCAAGTGTTGTAAGTCATGTACCCATCGTAGAGTCCCATTCGGCTTCATAAAGCAAAACCAAGGGGATGCATATGGCCCACTCGAGTAGTCCGAGACATGTGTGCGGATCTTCCCATCAAGGTAATTGACCATCTTCTCTTCATCAGCTGGATTAGGATATCGCGCACCTCGCAAGTTCCACGGTTCGTGAGGCACGGTGTGTATCCTAATCATTGGGATTCTATCCACGTCCAAGCGACCCCACTCATCATCATTGAACGCATAGGCAGTATGTCTTTCCCTTATGGTCTCCATCACCAACTGTCTTTCCTGCGCTGTAAGGAAATTTGGCTCTCCAATTATCAGCGCCTCTTCTGTTTCCTGATTGATACGACATGGTCCACTTCCTTCCCTCTCACGCATTTGTCGTATCAGTTCTCGCTCCCGCTCGTAGTAAACCTCTTGTTCTTCGGTTACGAGTACGGGAACTGGGCGACACTTCTGATCTACCATTTTGTACCGCCTTTGTGAACCCTGCTTGAGCCCACCCCTAAAAAAGGCCGAGTTGCACTTTGGGGTTGGGCTCCAACTGTTCCGCCTATCCTTTTTCGCACCCTGTAGACCAACTCCATTTCACATTCACCCCTCTTCTCCATCACCGTTTCTCTGAGGGCCTCAATTGCCTCAAGATCTGTCATCCCATAGGTAGACACTATATCCATAGCGTCCCCTATGTGTGTCAAGCTGAGAGACAATGCCTATGAAGGTTCTTCCCTTTCAAACTCCTCTCCTTCCAATCTCATTCTTGCCTCTTCTGAC